TTCAATCTGCCCTGAAAGGCAGGACCACTGTGCACAGTGACAGGAAAGGGGCTATTGGGTGTTTCTTGCAAGATCCCAAGGATTCTGAGGTTTGAAGAAATGCAGAAGACATTAGAAATGGGTAGCCAAGATCCCCAGCTTCGAAGGCAGGGTGCGGTCCTGTCTGAGAGTGTACTGGCAAAGGCAGAAATCTACAAGAATGTATATATAACTCCATCTGACAGATCTGCAACAACCCCTAACGAGTTTCTGGCACTTTGCAGCTTGTGAGTTTTCCCCTAAGGGGATGAGTGGTGTCCTTACTTTGCTGCGTCCTCACCATGAAGCCTCAGGAGTCCCTTCCCTTAACTTTCACTCCTTATACACGGCTGGCTCTTGGCACCAGACAAGGTACCAATCTGGCAGAAAGTGATGGCTGGACAAATGTAGCCCAATCCCTGGTTCTAACTACTGAGCATGGCTAATTCATCCCCAAAGAGTCATTTGGGAGTCACAAAGAGCAAATTAATTACACTCCGATGAGTTTAAGCAGCAGCAATAAGAAGAAGGAGAGGTAAATAACACAGAGATTGAACCTGAAAAGGACTAGGGGTGGGAAAACTGTGTAGAACATACATAGGGTAAAGAATCTGCGCACAGATTAAATTTGATTGAAAGCTGGGAAAAACAACAAGTTGGTTCCTGTTAGAAGATCACAGAATGTCCTGGCCCCCTTGCTGTTAATGCAATTACAAGGTATGCTTGTACAATCACTGAAATAATAAAACATTGAAAGGGTGTGGTTTGTGGAACTTTGAGCAGGTTAGGTTCCCTTTGAGGATGTGGGGCCCGGGAATTTAATCTTGTCAGGGGCTCAAGGAGCTGCCCAGAGCGCTGCCAGCGAAGATGGGAGGAGGTGCTATTCTAGGGATCTCAAAGTGTACAGTTTTTAATGACCCTTCATGCTCCTTACAAGTAGAGAAGAGGAGGGAGAAGAATGCAGAGTACGCATGTAGTGCCAAGCAAAACTGGTACCGAGGACAGATGGAGTAGAAGCACAAGGGGAGGTCCATGGTAGGGAAGTTTCACCCACAGCATTATGCTCCTTCTCTGCAAGTGTGTTAAGTAGGCAGCAGGCTTTTACAGCATTCGAATCTAAGTACTGGCATTCAGCAAATGGTCGTTGAGAACTAAGGCCTAGCCTAAAATTCTCAAATTCTAGTATAAGCGTCATAGGAGAGGGGCGCCTGGGTGGTGCAGTTAACTGTCCGACTCTTGGTTTCGGCTCAGCTCATGATCTCAGGGTCGGGAGATCAAGGCCCAAGTCGGGCTCTGTACCCAGGGCAGAGTCTGCTTGAGATTCTCTCTCCCTCTCTCTCTGCCCCCCCAACTTGTGTGTGCACACTCTCTCTCATAAATACATACATACATACACACATAAAAGAATCATAGGAGGAACTTGTTTGAAGTGCAGACTCCCAGGTCTAGTCATTAAAAATTCTGATTCAATAACTTGGGCTTAGGGTCTAGGTACCTGCATCAGGCAGCTCCTGTGATTTGAGGTTGGTGGCTCTTAGACCTGGTTACTTTGTAAAAACTGTAACATGGTCTCTGCAAAAGTTAGCGTTCAGCAAACTAGAGATTTGACTAATAAAAATACGAACAAAATAAAGTATTCCTTTGCCACCGCTTGTCAGTTGTTTTTGATGTTTTGTTATATTCCTGAAATCATTCACCTTTGGAAATCTTTGGCCAATTTGCTGAAGAACAGTTTATTCCAGAATTACAGAGTTATCAGAAGCAACAATAGATTCTACATATTAATTCTCCAGCAATTTGCCATTAATTAAAGCAATACCCTGCCTATGCCTGCCTGAAAGAGGGAAGAATGAACAGATCAAGAGGGAGATGATAATTTCCCTTCAAAACTTCCTTTCAAGATTTGAAGATTAAGCACCCTTCTTCAGAGGAAGAAATTGCTGGAACCCCAAAGATCCATAAGATTCATTAGGGCTGTGAAGTAGCTTTACTTCACAGTAATACCTATCCTAAATAAACCAATACCTATCCTAAAAATACATTTCAAGTCTCAACCTAGAACACTCACACACGCCTCCACGCACACACGCCCATACATGCCAACTATATACGTACATGTGTGCTGTGTGTTTATGTGGGAATGTATGAAAAATGGAAACATTTTAGAAAACACTACTTATCTTTACCATGTGAAATGCACCCTGATATTTTCCATGCTCTGCCCTTTCTTTTCTTCTCCTTTCTCCTGCTCTCTTCCTTAATGATAGTCATGATACCACCAATGGGTTTGCCCTGCTGTTTTGAAAAATGCTGAGGTAGGTATAAGATTCCAACTGTTTTGACTAGGAAAGAAGGGGAGAGGAATTGGAATTGGAAAAGAAGTTTGTTCACTAATTTTTCTTTCTTTCTTCCTCAGGAAGTAACTCCCTTTATTTGTCCACTGTCCATCTTGGCTAAGATAGTCTCCACATCTTGTAGAGAAGACTTTACTGGCTTAGAGGTTGATGTTTCAAAGCAAGTGAAACACTCAGCAGAATATACTGATAAACACATGAGTTTTTACTTCTTACCAGGTTGACCTTGCCTCCTCACTGTCTTGCATGAGGCATGCTCATTTCTGCTCAGTTGTCTTTATCTCCTAACCTGGAATTCTACCTACCCACTAAATTATTCTCTTTGCCTACTCTTCTTTCCTCCACAGGTCTGTGCTTATTTTCTCAGACCGTAAAGCTACTGAAGCTACAGGGAGAACCCTCCATTCCAGAGTGTTCTCCTCAGGCAGGTGCAATCCACTTCAAAGGAAAGAGGATCAATGCTGTTATTCATTTCAAAACTAATCTGTGATTTTTGTCACTTGTAAATGAACTAAGAGGCTCAAATGACCCAAGGTTCCCACAATCAACTTTCTTTATCCAACTAGCAAATTTCATTTTCATTGCAATTATTTTATTATGTGCAGTAAAAACATTCACAATTTTGTTTGCTGTTGATTGTTTAGCCTTGAAAAATATAAACTAAAGATGCCAAATTGTGAGCCGCTTTTCCTCACAGAGGGAAAAATTCACCCTAGACTACCTTTGTTGTGAAACATTTTGATCTCCATAAAGAAAAAATTTTCGACCCAGATTACAAGTGCTACCCAGCATCCTTCCCACACATATCTTATTAAAAATGTCTTCACTGGCTTTTTTTCTTTTTTAACCACCAAGCATTCTGCAAATGAACTCTTTTCCAAGACAACTCCATTATAAATATTATTTTTATGGTAAAATTATTAACCTCAAAGTTTTTATCCAATTCTCAAGCAAAGAACTGGTTTTATCCGAGTTATTCTGAGCATATTGTGATCCACTGAATGCCTGAAAGCAAGAAATCTACCAAAGACAAATCTGTCAAAAGGACCAATTTGAAAAAGATCTCCTATTGGGGCAATATGAGCATTAAAAAATAGTAATAATGGCAATAGGTTGAATCATATCAAATACATACAAATCCATCAGTTCCTAAAGATATTACAAAAATAAAATCATTGACCACTTCTAGAGTTTGCTGGGATGTCAATTCATTATTCTGAAAATTAATAAAGAAAAAAGCCATGCATTAAAATTTACTTGATTGCTTCTCAGCCTTTTGGCTAAGATCAAGTGTAAAATTAACTACTTGATGACATTTAATGCATATTTGCAGCCTCTGCATGACCAAAGTGAACTTAGCCATGTATGTGGTGTAAGACTTCAATATATTTTCCTATGATGTGAACTTTTGCCTTCTAATATGATTATGAAACTAAGCTTGCCTAATTTTGCTTTTCCTATAGTTTCTTAAGAATGAAATTATTCAGGGCGCCTGGGTGGCTCAGTTGGTTAAGCGACTGCCTTCGGCTCAGGTCATGATCCTGGAGTCCCGGGACGGAGTCCCGCATCGGGCTCCCTGCTCAGCAGGGAGTCTGCTTCTCCCTCTGACCTTCCTCCTTCTCATGCTCTCTGTCTCTCATTCTCTCTCTCTCAAGTAAATAAATAAAATCTTTAAAAAAAAAAAAAGAATGAAATTATTCATTATGGTCTTTTGTATTTGACTTCTTTCATGTGGCATCTTGTTTTTGGCATTCATTCACGTAGGGATATTTTGTTCCTTTTTATTGCTGAGTATTATTCTATTGCATATGGTTACCACCGTTTGCTTACCCATTCACTAGTGCTTTTCCTGTATCTGCTGAAATGATTTGTTTTTTACTTTATTCTATTAATATAGTGAATTACATTGGTTGGTTTTTAGATGTTAAACCAACTTTGAATTCCTAGGATAAACCTCACTGGTCATGATGTCTTATCCTTTTAAATGTTGTTGGGTTTGATTTACTAAAATTTTGTTCAAGATTTTTGTGTCTATGTTTATAAAGGATATTGGTCCATAGCTCTCTTTTCTTTTGAGATCTTACACTGGTTTTGTTATCAGGGTAAAACTGATCTCATAAAATAAATTCAGAAGTGTCTCTGCAATGTCAGTTTAATGCCTTGCAGAACTTTGAGAAATATTAAATTATGTCTATTTTAAATATATTTATTTAAATATGTTTCAAATATAATCTGTTCTGACCTTGTTCATTCTTTTTCTAATTTCCATAACAAACATCCTATTCATCTTCAAGCCTAGTTTGAAGTTGGCTGAATTAGTGAGTGATTTGTAATCACAGATTTTTAGGAAACGAAAGCTAAGTAACTTTTGAGATTATTGTCATTAGATATCTAGAAAGGGAAACTGAGACCCTTAGAAATTGCCACACTCTCCCAGAACAGGGTATCTTCTCACTCTTACAGGTCTCCATCACCTAACATTCATTACAAGCCTTTACGGGGTAGGAAACGTATCAAGTGCCTGCTGTGCATATACTTATACTATATAGTTGATGTGTCCAGCCTTACTCTTTTTCCTGACTATAAAGGCCCACACTGTTCCTACTGACAGGATCCAAATAGGGAGCAGCGAAACGATGAAACTCCAGGACCGTGTGGCTTGGGGGTTACTAGTTGAACTGGGCATGCTCAGTCACCAGGCAGATTTTTTTCGGTGAAGTGGAAACCACAACAGCGCTTACCGTGTGCGCTGAGGTGGGCGTGCCCTCGTGGAATTTAGAATGTTGCCGCAGCCAATGGGGCCTCGCGGCCGGCTGCCGGGGCTCCTCATTGGAGGAGCGGAGAGGCGAGCGAGTAGAGGGCCCCTGGAGGGAGCCGCGGAGGTGCAGGTCGGAGAGGCCGGGCTACGCCGTGCCCTGTGCGTGAGCAGCTGCGGCGGCGGCATCCAGCGGCGGTGTCTGCAGTTCCATCCCGTTGCTTTACTTTTTAGCTGCACGAACGTAGTCATTATGCCGAAGAGAAAGGTAAGTCTTACCAAAAAAGATTCAAAGGCCTTCAAATTGTGCTTACAGCAGATCTTGTCATTGCGGTGGATTGCGCGGAATGCGCTTGGTAGTAACTCGGCGTTTGCGAATCTCTTTGCTTCTCCACGCTTTTCAGATGCCTGTTGCGGACATTCCTCCTTCCCTCTCTCCCTCCCTCCGTCCTCATCGGTTTCTGACTGATACTTTTCTCTCCAGCGACGCGGCTTCCCTTCTTTTTGAACTCATGCTAGCTGGAATGGTTTCCACCTCGAACAACAAGAAGCAAAAGAGCTTTCCATTCGCCCTTCCAGGAGGGGAGTTTCCTCTTTGAAACTGCCGGGTTGTGATTAGTGTGTAGGGAAAGCAGTGATGGGGGCGGAGGGGGGGGAACAAGTCCATGCATAGGGAGATCGAAAAAAAAAAAATAAGTCGGGCAGATGTTGGGGTTATTCCCAGGTGGGCCTAGCCCACGGCTGGGCGCGTCGCGTTGGCTCTGAGGCCAAGGGAAGGGAAAGCCATGTTTAAAATAGCACTCACCCCCCTGCTCGCCTCCGCTGCAGACCCGTATGTACCAACTCCCGTGTCAATCAGGGCTGGGGACGGCGCAGGCGGGGCCGGGCGGCCGGGACCTGCGGGCAGTTCGCGGCGGGAGCGGCGGAGTTAGCCACGCGCAGGACGGGACAGCGCCGGTGGCGCCCACTGTGGATTGCCGAGGAATGGGGCCACCGGGTCCACTCCGGCGACCCAAGCCCACACTCAGTCGGGAAAGGCGGGGTGCGCGTGCTCCCGCGCCCCTCGGTACCCACAAGGAACTGGGGACATTTTCGTCCCAGCTTCAGCTCCTTGAGGACTATTACGTCCCCTTCCGCGTGGGGCCGGGACACGAAGTATCTAGCACCGCGTTGCATGTTTCCCTCGGGGTCATTGTCCTGGGGAGGGAAGGGAAGGTTTTCCTTCACCCAGAGAAAACCGGTGTGTGGCGGCTGTAACCTAAGAAAATGTTTTGCACCCTCCCACTGCCTGCCAGGAGTGTAAATCAGTGTGTCTTAAATTTGAGGCAAAATTACAAATAATATCCTGCTTTATCAGTTAAAGACTATGGCCTGATTTGTGGCATTATTTTATGAAAATAGAGAAGCTTTTGCTTTCTTACCCGCCATTACTAAGAATTGGATGGGAACTTGTCTCCTACACTTTTTAAAAAACACAACAAAAGTTTGTTGTGTTTTTTTTTTCTTAATCTTAGAGTTTATTGTGCACATACTGTGTGCTTCATACTGTGGGAAGAGTTTGACTTGTATTATTTTATTTACTCCTCGGTACATCTTGAGAGGTGTTAACGCCATTGAACTAGGGTTTGAATACCTGAGTTCCCCAACGTTTCACCAACCAATAGCTAGTACCAAAGATTTAGTGGTGGGCGTGTCAAGTCGAATTTAGGAAATGCAAAGAGATTAGGAACCTGAGAAGATGGATGGCATATTAAGAGTACTAATACTTGAGATTCATTATTTAAATTTGTTTATGAAAATATTGCTTTCCAGGCCTGTTTTACTAGAACTAGGGTATTTAAAATGATACCACCATTTTCAACATTTATCTGAGGTTTAATGACTACGTTGGGAATTCTAGTAGAGTCAAAAGAACCAATCATCAAGAGATGAGTTATGGAGTGAATTTGTGCCATCCCTTTTCCTGAGAATTATTAGCAAATTTAAATGAACAGTAACTTAGATGTGCACAAACCTATTATTAGACCCTGATGTGCTGGAGTCCTTGTTGTTATTGAAGGGCCACAGTTGGTGAAACCATTACTCTTACTTGCTCTCATTGTCCATCTCTCTTAAGGAAACAGAGGGGAAGGAAAAAACAGTACTGGCTTTTGGTTATTTTATTTCTCTGGAAGGCAGGGAGTTCCTGTGAAGAAGCTAGCCAGGCATCCTGGGACTAGGGGCAGACTTGCATACAAGCACCTGAATGTCATCCCTCAGGACATCAGCATGTTCTTCAGAGATGGAAAACCTGACCTTGATTAATAGGAAGGCTTTTCATTTATACCTGGAGCCCAAAGTTGATACCTGGACAGAAGCAGCCACAAATTTAACATAGTTACCACGCCATCCTATCTATCAGTCACACCTTAGAGCTGCCTCATGGAATCCTGGAGGCCACTGGAGCTTACTGGTAAAGCCTGCCTAGATGCAAAGAAAAGACCTGAAGACAATCTGTGCCTAGCACGTCAAGAGCTATAAAGCTGGGGCACCTGCTAAAACATTTATATACTACTCCACGTTATTTTTCTTGACTAAAGGACTGCCTGTTTTACATTAAAATAAATTTTTTAAAAGTGCCCCCGCAATACTTTTTTGCCGTCTTGGCCCCCTTTTTTCAACTTTTTCCAGAAATCAAGAAAAGTTATTTAATAAACACCTGTTTAGGCTGTTCTGCAGAGTAAGATCTGGAATCCTAGCACTGCTTTAATGTCATGGGGATACATAGTTCACTCTCATGGAGCTTATATTCAATTCACTGAAGATGATAAGAGTAGCAGGCACAAAGCACTTGAGTAACATTAAGACTATATATATATATGTGGAATATACATATATATACACAATATATATATACGTATATATATTCCAGAATATACAGTTTAGGTATAGATTCTAAACGCTGTAGGACTGATAGGAAAAGAAGGTTGAATTTGGGTGGATCTTGCAAGTGTAGGTAGGACTCAAATATATACAGAGAAAAACAGAGTCATTTTCTGTTATCAGGCATTTGAATGCCTCTTCTGATTGTATCTTAATATAAGCAGGCCTCAGTTAAACAACTTAAAGGCCATAATACCCACATTAATATAAAACGTTCTTTTATTAATCAACTCAGTTAAACAAATTAAACGCCATAATACCCACATTAATATAAAACGTTCTTTTATTAATCATATCTTTGTTTTATCTCTATCTTTGTGTATGATAATTATATTAAACCAAATGGGTTTTTTATAACTGTAGTAGAATTTTTTTTTT